TTAAAAATATTCAAACCTCGACACATTTTCGTGTGCCTATTTTTTAAGTCAAGAGCCTCTTAAATGATTTTTTCATTTGGACAATTCGATGTTCATATAGATATTTAATAATCCTAAGAAGAATGATGATTAACTTTTTGCCACTCGAGTCAATCTGGAGCATGACTTATTACATTGAAAACACTTTTCATTATTGACGACAGTCTTATGACCTCTAGATACATGTTTGTGTCTGGTTGTCGTATATCTCCAATCATTTTTTTTTCTTACATATTTAGCTTTGAAATTTAATTTACTACTAACCGTTCAAAAATATGCAAACTGTACAGAAAAAGGCAACTATATATACTTCATTAACCTTAAATGCACTAGTGCGAATAAACATTACTTATGCTCCTATGTTTATTGATAAGTAAATGATAATCCACATTATTTTTAACTTTAAGCACTCATCAATGAAACAATGCTTATAATTTTGTACGCCATGTTCCTCTCACTATTGGTTGCACTTTGTATATATGGTTGATCACAATCCACGCCGCTTATATATACATTCCTCGGATTTCAAATGTTTGGCATTGAGCGTTCCTGATGAAGATAAATCCAGAAAAGCGCTTCGGACGCATGCAATTATTAAACGTATTGTTTTCAATTTTTTACATCACTGGGTCGATACCTCTGCTGGTGGACTATCAGTCCCCGAGGGTATCATCAGCTCAGTAGTCAGTACTTCGGTACTGACATGATTTATAACAAACCTTTCTAAAATTGTCCGTTTATAAATTTTGAAATTATAAAGAAACTAAGGTTTCAACTCCCTCAGGCAAAGTTGACCTTAGATGAATTTGGCTATTTGTTTTATGTATTTTTGTCATATAGCTCTTCAACTGTTTCGGTACTTATACATCCCTCGGATTTCAAATGTTTGGCATTGAGCGTTCCTGGTGAAGGTAAATCCAGAAAAGCGCTTCGGACGCATGCAATTATTAAACGTGTTGTTTTCAATTATTTACATCACTGGGTCGATACCTCTGCTGGTGGACTATCAGTCACCGAGGGTATCATCAGCTCAGTAGTCAGTACTTCGGTACTGACATCATTTATAACAAACCTTTCTAAAATTGTCCGTTTATAAATTTTGAAATTATAAAGAACCTAAGGTTTCAACTCCCTCAGGCAAAGTTGACCTTAGATGAATTTGGCTATTTGTTTTAGGTATTTTTGTCATAAAGCTCTTCAGCTGTTTCGGTACTTATACATCCCTCGGATTTCAAATGTTTGGCAGCGTTCCTGATGAAGGTAAATCCAGAAAAGCGTTTCGGACGCATGCAATTATTAAACGTGTTGTTTTCAATTATTTACATCACTGGGTCGATACCTCTGCTGGTGGACTATCAGTCACCGAGGGTATCATCAGCTCAGTAGTCAGTACTTCGGTACTGACATGATTTATAACAAACCTTTCTAAAATTGTCCGTTTATAAATTCTGAAATTATAAAGAAACTAAGGTTTCAACTCCTTCAGGCAAAGTTGACCTTAGATGAATTTGGCTATTTGTTTTAGGTATTTTTGTCATATAGCTCTTCAACTGTTTCGGTACTTATACATCCCTCGGATTTCAAATGTTTGGCATTGAGCGTTCCTGGTGAAGGTAAATCCAGAAAAGCGCTTCGGACGCATGCAATTATTAAACGTGTTGTTTTCAATATTTTATACATGTTATAGGAAAATACCTAATATTCATAGATATAATTCATTTTGTTCACCAGTTGGTTCCCTGATTTGATCTCCAGGTTATTTCACAAAGACACATATTGAGATTTTTACAAGTTACAAGCATAGAATTCCATTATATTGACAATAATGTGACAAAACAAACAGACATAATAGGTAAAAATGTGAAAATTTGGGTACAGCAGTAAACATTGTGATATTATCTTATTCTCTATAAAAACAAAGGACTATGTCAACAAAGAAAAACAAAATGGCATATAGACACTCTATAGACAAAGCACATAAGCAAAATGAATAACAAGAATACAATAAATGACCATAGCACAATAACACAATTATGACAATGGCGGGATGTATAAATAGCGAGCAACGCCAAAATGATATTACCAAATTGGAAAAAAAAGTAAAGGTTAAAAATATACACAGACAAATAAAAAGAACACTTTACCACGTAATTAAAAAGATAAACAACGTCAGTAATGTACCTATAATCATGATAATCTATATTTCAAGACCATCAGGTATTTTTTGTGAAGTTGATAAGGAACATTTATCAACAAGGTCTTGGTATCTCCCCATAATCAAAGAGACGTTCTTTGTCATAACCCTGGTTCATCAACTTTCTGCTCAGACACTGGTGACGTTCTATAAAGTCTGCAAGCTCTTGAATACCGAATGAGTTGGGTACATGTATATCCCATATGCAGGTGAACTTAGTATATTGCTGCTAAGACAAGGGGGGGGGGGGGGAGGAATTTATAATTTCAAGCTTAAATTCATCTTGTTTGTCATAGATTTTGGTACTGAGATGACCGCTTATTTCAAATTCAAGGTATAAGTCTAGAAAATGAGGCGAAGGAAGCCGTGTCTGTATTTTCTTAATTTCTAGTTCTGGCGGTTATATTAATGGTGCCAATCAGAAAGTGTCTTTAGGATTTCTGACCTATATGAAAATAAGAAGAGGTCGGTAAAGTGAAGCACACAGTTTGTTCCCGTAGGAATGCCGACAATTTGTCAAAAAAGTCTACCTCCAAATTCAAAAAAATATGTTGCCATTAAGAAACTCCAGCATACTGATCACTAGTTCCTCTGTGTAGCATGTTTTACCTTTTTGTTCACTATAAACAAAATATGCCGTATGGTATCCCAAAGCAATAAATTTATAGCGTATGCTACCATTTCTATATTAAAAAGCTTTGTGGATTATTTCTTGTAGACGATTTTTCAATTTCACACGTTGAATGGTGGTATAAAGGGTTGAAAAATCAAAAATTTTGATAGAATTAATTAAATGATTGATTATTTGTTGGTGCTAACGTCACTTTTAGCACTCTTGGATATTTCGTGGCGTTCAGTTTTGCGGTCAGATTTTATAGGTGGAGGAAGCCGGAGTGCCCAAAAAGTACCACTATCCTTCGACAGGATTAAAGGCAATAGTAGTACACCGCTGTTAAATAGTCATAAATCGATTTAACTGAAACGAATCCGGGTCACAAACCAAAACTGAGGGAAACACATCAACTATAAAAGGAAACAAAACGGAACAACAGAAACACTGAACTGGAAGAAAAATGAGGGAAACACATCAACTATAAGAGGAAACAAAACGGAACAACAGAAACACTGACCTGGTAGAAAAACAAACGCCAACATACATAGACACGGACTATGTGATAACAACTGCCATACTCCTGAATTGGTACAGGACATTTTAAGAAAAAATGGTGGGTTGAACCTGGTTGTATGGCTAGCAAAACCTCCTGTTTAAATGGCAATGTTAAACATACCGCTAAAATGACAACATTACGTGACAGGAATACATTACAAATAGATGCAAGAAAATTCAGGACAGAGAAATACATAAAAAAATAATATAATAGTCTATTTTAACATGTAATCCACAGAATAACAACGAACACCTAAAATTAATTTACGAAAGTACACAAATACAGCACAATAGAATAATGAACTGTGAGTCACACGAATGTATCAACGCCACAAAAAGTGACGTCACAGGTAAATTTCGAAAAATACAATATGAAATTGGGATTAAGTTTGTAATGGTGTTATTTGATGTATTTTCTAACCATGACAAGACTATTAATATAGAATTGTGTTAGTAATGGAGTAACTATTTATATTTCATAACCATGTCGGTTTTTCTTTTAAATCAAACTGTGTAAAAATAAATAAATCCTGTGCATATAGTTGCTTTAAACTAAAAATCATATAAAAGAACTAGATGATTTATTTCTTTACTTTTACATACATATAGAAAATAAAAATAGAATTAAAACCACAAACGAAAAGACATTAAACAACATCCAACCAGAATTACATTGGAACATCATAACTTATATATGAATGTTGGATGTACAAATACCGAGACACGTTTAATATCAATGCAAATTTACACTCAGCAAAACAGTCATATTCGGGAAAAGGTCATGTTCGATTCTTAGAAGACCAGACGACGTAGATGGTAAACCATAATCTAAGACGTGGTAAAAATGCCGATAGTTAGTTTAGACACAGATACATCGTATAGATTAACCAATTCGTGATGGTGTCCATAAAATTTACGGAGTGTCATTTTTAATCTTTCCTCCTCATAACTCTGTTTGAGCAGTTTCTGCGTAAGGAGCACACTCCTGTATATGAAGTCCGTATAGTGTGAACATGCAAGAGCATACCGTATCAACTGAGATATGTAAACACCATACGATGGGGCAGAGGGTATGTTACTGCTGAGAAATGGGAAATCGATAATTGGGAAGTTGAAATCGTCTCGTTTGTCATAGATTTGAGTGTGAAGTCGTCCATCTGTGTCAATATTGAGAAAAAGATCAGGAAAACTGACAATCGTAGTCAATTAAGATTAGATTCGAATGCATCTGCCAAGTGCGGGGTTCGAAATGACAACAAAAGTGATGACAGGCTAGTGATGTATAACTGATATAGAACGTTATATTGATATATATGGTTACGTATGTTTAACTTAAACATCGTTAACAACGTGTATATAAATAAATGATTTTACATATTCAACCCCTTTTTAAATTCATCGAACAGCCTAAAAGTTTTAATTAGTGAAATGAAAATGGGCGAATAGGAAAACGTTTAACAAAAAAACTCATCAAAGATAAAGGTTTCGTCTACAACGACTTATCAGTGATGCTTGAATCAAAAAGGTAAGATGCCAACTAAAGTACAAAGTTGAAGGGCATTGAAGGCCAAGAAAATCCTTAGTATTTCAAACAATTCAAAATTTTGTAAACAGTTTTATTATTTATATGACAATATCAATGATAATTCATGTCAACACAGAAGTGCTGACTACAAGACATTTACCGAGTCAATTACAATTTTCCCAAAACATCAAATGTATTTACATCTCCGATCAAACAAGTACACCGCCGGTCTTTTGTTGACGAATAAAAATGTTAGTTTGTTGTAGAATTGTCCTCAATAGGAAATGATTGATCTATATCTTCAGGAGGTGCAGTTGGATATACCCGCTGATTAGAGTTTATATCGTTGACAACAGGAAATTCATACCCCATATCTGCAGGACGTGAAGTTGGGTATACCCACTGTTGTGAGTTTAAAGGGTTACCATGATATCCTTGCATTCCGGAATTTCCCACTTGATCATATCCCTGCTGGACACCTTGATGCTGTAAAAATTGAATAAATACAAATAATGAATGCATGTTCTACATAGATCTAATGCAAATAGAATACAAAAATGAGAAAAGTGTTTCTCACAAGCATACAACGTAGTCGTTTAATATTGAATTGAATCACTTTATGGTTTTCACGTGTGTCTAATTGTTTATTTGAGACAAAAGGTATTTAATGCACGATAATCAACAGTAGCTTTATATATCATCAATCTAGTTGATATATTTCAAAATATATTTAAGCACTCAATGTTCAGGACATAATTTTGAGAAAATCATGAATATACTGACATTTCCAGTAGACAGTTGTGAACAGCAACAGCAACAGCAGTATACTGCAGCAACAATGGATACAATGCATTCGATGAAGGACAAAACAGTTAGGAGGACAGACACTGCAACAACACCGCTGGCATTTGCATAAAAATCAGCCTTTAAAAATAAATCTAGAATATATAGATAATTTAAACCAGCAAAATATATGGAAAAAACGCAGCATTTGAACATAAAATGTTAACTTATTTCATCAGGTGCAGATAAATTGGTATCTTGCATTGACTTTTTTGCATTGAGTCGATGTCTCTGCTGTTGGACTGTTAGACCTTGAGGTCTAGAATTTCCTTAACCAAGTAGCTCATTAGTTCGGACTGATATGAAAATGCATATTTCTTTTTTTCGAAAATATACAATTATAAATTTAAGAAAGTGATTTAAATTAGAAATGTATCTCACACTTGCATACATTTGATTCATTGTCCTGATTGGGCTAAATTACTATTTTCATTTTTTTAATTTTCATTTCAGCTCTTTAACGTGTTATAATGCTTGGAATATTTTGGCATCAAGCATTACTAAAGACATGCGCATAAAGAAAGTTAAAGGGGATTCCGGTTAATGACATTACATTATTTCAAACTAAAATTTATTGTCAATATACATTATTTTATACCGAATAATATTCTACTTGTTGGAAAGTCTCAATGTAATTCTAGTGAGGTGAATTCAACATATAATAAATAAAGTCTCATTCTCGTTTTATGAATTGAACCTTTCGTGATTTAAGTTCCCATTGTAACTCTATTGATATGAATTCAACATTTCGTGATTTAAGTTCCCATTGTAACTCTATTGATATGAATTCAACATTTCGTGATTTAAAGTCACGTTGTAATTATAGTGATGTGAATTCAACCTTTCTTGTTTAAAGCCTCATTTGCATTCTAGTGATGTGAATTCAACTTTTCGTTTTTTAAAGTCCAATTGTAATTCAAATGATGTGAATTCAACCTTTTGTGATTCAATGTTCAATTGTAGTTCTAGTGATGTGAATTCGACATTTAGAGATTTAGAGACCATCATCAGCGGTATCAACCCAGCGAAAATAATAAAAACGTATCTTACTTAAATAATATAATTAGCACCAATTAACATCAACTCTGCCCAAGCGACCGACAACCTTATTTTGTGTATATTAACATTATTAACACTTTCGAAAAAAATCTATCGTGACATTAAAAAATGATCTATTTATTTATATATTACTGTTGTGTACATATGCTGTTGCCACACTATAAGAAATTATTGTTATCGTATCAACAGACGGACGACAGGAAAGTGACACTTCTATTACATTTTCGATATGTAACAATCGTCGGAAGCGAGACAGTAATACCTTAATGACTTACATAACAAAAGTTAATCTAAAATATTTGAATATGACTGTCTTCAATTTAAGTGTTCTAGTATCATCTGAAAGCTCTCACTGAAGCTTTTGACCTCCTATAAGTCAAAAAAATGTTGTATATAATTTGCTAAATAAAAAAAATAAAAAACCTTAATTAATAAATATAAAGTATTTAATTTTCCATAAATGTTTATAAAGCTCTGAACTTTCTACTACATTTTATTTCCATAATGCTAACAATGATTGCTCCGGCAACTCCTAATCCAAAAACGATGGGTGAAAACACAACTGCTGATATAATGCTACAAATCGGAAACGCTTTTTCCTACAAATTCAAAATAATATTTCATGACTAATTTTTACTGATGGTCAGTTTTCAAACAGACATATGAATTACAATTAATGGCAATTTGTTCAAACAGTTATATAAAAGACAAATTGCAGCATTTTCAAAATATACCAAATTGTAAAGCGAAATGTATCAAATTTGTATTAGATAAAAACTCGACAATATAAAGGGACTAACCACACTTAATAAAAGAAACGACTTTCTGAATTGTGTCAAAAGATTTCCTGCTAAGATAAAAATGCAAAAATCACATATATGTTATCGTACGAACAACCCTGTCCTCGTTCCCTCTGTTTTTTATTTTACAAAATGCCACTGATAACCAGGTTGACTTGCTATCAACGGGAATACGGGTGCAACAAGTTAGGTAGGAACCCTTCCAGAGCTTCTGAATTATTCCCTAGTTTTGCTTTCAAGGGTTTATATTGATTTCGGTGCTATGTTTCAAATATTTGGTGTTTCTACCTGTGAAGGTCTGTGCAATTCTTGTCCTGATTTTGCTTGAATGCAATGGATTATCATTTTGGTAAAAAAGTCGTTACAATTATGAATCAACATAATACACTAAACAGAATGAAATATGTACAGACAACAAAAGAACAGCTACACGTAATACAAGCATATCGCAGTAAAGAAGTTCCCAATGGCTAAGGCTAATGCAGATTACTAAATTTGCTTATACTAAAATCATGCTTACATGGTATCGTTTATTTATCGCTTTATTCCTAAGTGGATTTCATTCAGCGACGAAATGAACAATGCAGAAGACACGATCATGCGCAAAACACAAAATGGACAAATCTCCATACTTTACTAAAATAAACTTATGCATACCATTGTTTTATTTAAATTTTTTTAAGATCACCGTCGTCAAACAAATTAAATTGAAAAGAACAGGTTGAAGATAACCATTTTAAACAGTTAAATATGTAACAGGCGCCAAAATATATTTGAAATACATAATGCGTCCAACCTTACTTACTAGTTCTTTTGTTTATATGAAGCTGAATTTAAAAAAAACAGCTTCACTTACTCTTTTGTGTTATTGGGATGCCGTTTACAAGGTGGACAAAATAAGAATATAAGTTCTATAGTTTTACAGGGGCATTAGCTGTCAGATTCATGTTCACCGATTTGACTTAAATTCTCATAATTATTTGATTTATAACATACTAAAACGTATATCCAAATAACAAAAAGTCTAAAAAGAACAATTAACAATACATTGACTCGATAATATGTATCAGCATTTCGTGTGTTTTTTTGTTTAGACGCCATCTAATTAACCATCGAGATGACCTCTGAAGAATGCCGACGGTCATACAACCTGATATAAACATAAATATAAATATAAAAAGATAGCAACCAAGTGCTATTGGACTTTTCTAGGTCTGTTTGATTTCATATTGTAGGTTACAAAGTATGTTTATCATCGTTTTACCTGTATAAGAAAGCATGTTTGTGGATCGAATCAATCAACCAAAAGGTTTATATTGTTTCACTCTCAATGTTGACATTCATTTTCTTTTAAAAGCTGAATACACGCGTAAATAGTTATCAAAGGTACCAGGATTATAATTTAATACGCCAGACGCGCGTTTCGTCTACATAAACTCATCAGTGACGTTAAGATCAAAATAGTTATAAAGCCAAACAAGTACAAAGTTGAAGAGCATTGAGGACCCAAAATTCCAAATAGTTGTGCCAAATACGGCTAAGGTAATCTAGTCCTGGGATAAGAAAATCCTTAATTTTTCAAAAAATTAAAAGTTTTGTCAACAGGAAAATAAAAAAAAATAAATGACCATATAAATGATATTCATGTAAACACGAACATAAAGTGCTGACTACTATCTCCAGCTAACGGATTAAATTGAAGTTCAAATGAATACGGATTTAATGAGGTCGAATTATTTACTTGCAAGTCACTAGTTCATCATCGATGTCTCTTTGCTTATTTTGACAAAATTGAACTAAATTGGTTGCTAAAAGCGAATTATTATTTTACTATTTCACTTTCATTAATGATTGAACCAAAAAAAAAACCTTATTTTTTTTTTTTTTTTTTTAATCTCGTAGCTAATGCTCCTTTAATGATTTCGCTTCAATATATTTTTATAAATGAATTTGATTATAGAAAAGAGACAACATAAGAAGTACGTACTAAGCAGCTTGATTTACGTTGTACTGTCATACATAACGGTAAACAACCGGTTAATGTGAACTGAAAGCAAAAAAACAAATACACATTTAAAGGTGAATAATGAATAAAAGTAAATAGCATATTTAATTTTCTTCTGTTGTCTATCAGTGCTGTATATTGACCATGATGCGAATTTCACTGAAACAAACGTAATGTTTTGGGATATGGTATTACAACTATATAATAACAATTTATGTGACGTAATTCATACTAATTAGCAACAAAGAACAAGATTATTAGAGTTGAATTCAACACCCTGTTCAAAACTGTCCAAAATTTAAATATTTTAGTTCCAGAAATGCAACAAAATAGGCGTTATTTATAGTGTTATAAATCACGCTTCCAATTGGCCTCTTTAATTTTTTCCGTTGTTGCCAAGATAGATGTTGTCCAGAGTAATCTAATTTTTTGTTACGTTGGGTAGACATGTCAATGGTTTTATCATACTTGTGTATTGTAACTTTTTAGGACGTGTTAAACAAAATATAATTGTCAAACTCCACTTGCATATAAATACCTTTGATAAACATAGGCCGTGCGATTACTATGATCTTTTTATTTATCGTAAACTTCTGTCTTTTCACAGTTTAAATTGTCAAGTGTCATTTGTATGATTTTATTAGAAATCACTTTGTGAAAATTACGTAAACTACTTTGATTATAACTTAAGTTCTATCGAAAACAAAATGGTCGGGAAAAAAGAACCAATCAGATCAGCCAATACAAAAATTACATTTTCTTCTGATAAAAAAAAACTAAGTGTTAATCTAATTCATTCATTTATTAGAATATGTATCATAAAATAAAATCATTATCAGAGGCAATCACTGTTAGTACTCTGAAAAAGATGTTTAATCAGCCTAGGTACATCATCGGATCCTTGGCTAATAATATGTCGTATGTTTTTTATTTAAGAACAATAGATTAATGATTCTGAAATAATGCTCAGCGGATACATTGCAAGAAAAGACTAAGGAAGCATTAATGATGTTAAGTATGGAAAAATCAAAACAAAACGCAGTTATATACAGATTTATCGATAATTACGTAAAAGAATAAATCGATTTCAGTGAGTCAAAATCAATTATTTTTTATAATACTTTCAGCTGATCTATTGATACAAACAATTATTCATGCAATTGGTTCATACTGTTTTCTCGATAAGTGTTTGGTTTACTATAAATTTTCACTTCTTCGTACTATGAACATCAAATTATTTATTTTGTAAAAATATTTCCTTTCTCCTTTTGAACTGTACACGTATACCTAACAACAAAATTATTTTCACTTACCTGTGTTTAAAGTAATTGGAAATGGCTAATATTTTTGTTCAAGCATATTGTTTTTCTTAAATTGTTTAACATTTCACAGCGGTATAACATGTTACTTAAAATATTCTTCCCTTAGTTTATTTATTTTATATTTACATTGTGTCATAGATCAAATTTATTTGTTCCGTGTATGTTCACAGGTGTTAGTATGTCTTTTGATTGAGTTAAGCCATTTCAATTGATATTTTATAGTGTGTCTTTCTATGTTGTGATGTTACACTATTGTTTCAGATACGACTGACGGTTTGGTATCATTAAAACGTTTAAACTCGCCGCAATTGTTTGCACCTGTTCTAAGTCAGGAATCTGATGTTCAGTAGTTGTCGTTTGTTGATGTGGTTCATAAGTGTTTCTCGTTTCTCGTTTTTTATATAGATTAGACTGTTGGTTTTCCCGTTTGATTGGTTTTACACTAGTAATTTTTGGGGCCCTTTATAGCTTGCTGGTCGGTGTTAGCCAAGGCTCCGTGTTGAAGACCGTACTTTGACCTATAATGGTTTACTTTTATAAATTTTGACTTGGATGGAGAGTTGTCTCATTGGCACTCATACCACATCTTCTTATATCTATTTACTCAACACACAGGTGACGTTTACCCTCGTGACTCCTAAGCAGTTTTGCTTGTTTTCTTAATTTGTCTTCTGAATCGATATATGATTTTTTAGCATCGGTAAAATACTGTTGCTTTAATTTTACATCTTGTAGGAATTCACACTTTATACCTGATAAAATGGGCTTATGCATGTGTAAAATTTCTTATTTATATGACGTACACATGTGCAATAATGAAAACTAACTACACAACATTATATATAAATATAACGCATTAGCCTTTGAAAAGTTCGATTATTGGTACTTTTTATTTCAAACGTTAAATGTATTGTTAAATAAAGTTAATTTAATTAGAAATTACAGATGTGTATTACATCATGTTCATAAATAATTAAAGTTACTCCAAGGTGTGACTTGGAAGTCATATGAGTTGATATATTTTACTTACCCAACCTGACAGACCCACGCAAATTAAATCCATTATAAGGATAGCATCTCCAAAATCATAGCATGTATACATGTATCTAATTACATAATTATATCTGTTGTGGTAGTAATAACTTTCGCAACGAATGTCTATATTGGTTTAACTAAGAATAGCTCCAGTAATACCAAGGATACCGCACACCATACCTAGCCCGATATGTAATCCACCAAGTATCCGGTGTGCTCCTATCTTTGATGTGGCTACTGTTGGTTGTACTGCATATGTTTGCATTTGACATACTCGGGCATTGGTGTTCATTGTAGCATTATATGTAAAGAGAATCGTGTATGTATTAACAAATCAACAAATCATGTATCATTTGTGGTTGTGTACATCACATTTTCTTTTTGTCACTGGCATGTTGTTTACTTACATTAATTCAAAGTGATGTACTAATACATATCCTTAATTTAATTTATCTTTGTCCAGAGAGTGTTGTTATGTAACTCTCGAACAAACAAATGCTTTCAAAGTGCTTATTACATCCATTCGGGTCATGAATGTATATCTAGCAAAACAAAGCTTGTTGTTATAACGTTAACATGTATAATACAAAGAAAGTGGACGAATAATTACTTTCCTTTTGTTAGAACATCTAAACGTCTAAATTCGTAATGACAATTCATTTTCTCCTTTACTTTTCCTAGAAAACTACAAATGTATAATTTTGTTAAATTCACCAAACTCTTAGATAATATTCATTTTTAAAAAATAATCTGTAGGTATTACAATGCAAAGTGGATTAAAATCTGCGTTTATCTACAGTTTTTAAAGCGTGACTATGCAATGACTTTTATAACCTTCAAACCGTTCAGTCAATTTTTTTTAGGAATTATTAAAGACCTGCTTTATCATACATTCATATAATCGCTAAAATAATTTAATAAAAAATGACTTGTGGTTATTTTAATATTACTGATCATGTTTTATGATGAATTAATATATTTTGGATTCCATGACCAACCTACGATCCAAATAAAAATGTAACCAAAGCGTGCCAATGTTTATGATAAAGCTATAATCACACCAATTATTTGGATCATGGATTGCGGACAAAAATTGATGAAAACTTTTATGCTTATGAAAATAAATGGATCTATCCCTTTGTATTGAATATGGCGTGGTTTTTCTTGTATTTGTTTTTGCTTTGTAGTTTTGTTTTTATTTTGCTTCATTTTTTGGGTTGGTTTTGTTTACAACCTTAGAAGTATTTACAGTCAGCCAAGGATTTCACGTTGGGAACACTGGAGATTTGATAGCTTAAATGTTCACGGTAGAAGGGTGTTTACCTTCTGTTGCGGGTTTCCATGATATAAATGTCACGAATTATATATTATTCAGTATTCACACTCTTAAAGTTGCATTTCGTAGATCATTTGACAATCCTTTTGCCGTGAAAAACGTATCAGCTACCTTGTTCTTCAACCAAATGGACTTAAGGGTTGATTTTTAAGCTACTGCATATTGATCGCAGTTAAGATTGGGGCTGTCGCATTGTTGCACGTGGTATTGTGTGTTTGAGCTCAGATTATTTCTTGTATCGTTCCGCAGCGGGAGCTACAGGTGTGATACCTTAATTAATTTATCTAAATTTGTTCAGGTGTTGTTCTTTTTTTTTTCTGATTGTCACGCTGCAGATTTTAGATTGGTAATGACCTCTCACAAAAACTGCCAATTTTAATAGTTCTTTACGATGAAACTACATGAAACCTGTCTGGATTTTTTATTGTTTCATGAGTGGAGGTAATAAACTTTGCTACCTAAGTTAGATTTCTGTAGTGACGAGTACATTTTGGATTTGTTTACAAATATAGTCTCGTCTTTAAGTTCCCTATTTAAATTGGATGTCGTCCTGTTGGTAGCTGCACAGTGCACGTTTTTCGTTGTGCTTTGAATTCTGGAAGAGTTGTTGTACGTTGTCGTTGGTCTTTGTTTATTAAAAAAAATCAATTTAGTTTCATTACCGAGTAGACAACCATTCAACAGACTGGAAATAAAGTATATTTTTGCAACTACAGATCAACATATTGCCTAGGCCTTCAACAATGACCAATACCCATATCGTATAATTAGTATGTTTTGTTTCTGGGCGCCCTCGTGACAACAGGTTGGCGTTGTCTGTTCTATTCGGGGTTTTCTTTCTAATTCCTGTTATTCTTTCTATTTACTATCAGACTGGCATTTACAAAGCTTTTAATTATAATACACTCTAAAACTGCGTAAACTGCTTAAACTGCTTGAAATGAATTTAAAAAGAAGTAAACCAGTATCATAAATTAATATAAGTACTATTCATATTTTGTTTTTACTTCGCAGATTACTTCGGAGTTGATTGGAATAGTAGTAAGAAATATTCACAGTCGTTATCACATTCATGTGAAATACATTACAATTAAATACACAATTACTAATTGAGTTACATTGCCATACATGGTCATCTACGACAGGTAAATTCTAGTTCACGTGGATTAGGTGTAATTGAAAATATTAAGTAGTGTGAAAAAACAATCATGACAGTAATTGTATAGGAAAATGCCTCATATGGCCGATTTATGGATATCGGTTAATACATCTTATGGTAATCCATACATAAAAATAGACTTTAGTTTGATTGTTATAAATATATATTCATCTTCCGTAGATATCTCTGTAAAATCGAACTTGTACAGTTGAAAAGATTGATATCGATATTATAAGATACTTTTAGTGTATATAAAATATAGATCGAAAATCATTTCTAATTGATTTTACTGTACTTACTATTTCTTAGTGAATATAAGTTGTGCCTGTACTGACAATTATATCTCATTCACTAGTTGGATTATATATATAGAACCATAATTTAAACTCAATATGTTAATTTTACAAACGAATTAAGATTTGTATAGCGTGAATCCGACGTATACAATACAAATACAATAGATAGTATTACAATATGTTTAATACGGTTGCATGCATGCATAAACCATACAGTTGTCACTAGTTAGAGTATTATTTTGTAATTGATTGTCTATAATGTCTTAAAAAATTTTCAAATTCACGAATGGATGATTTTTTCTCAGTCAAATTCATTCAGTCTCGCGTTCATTTTAAAATTGAATACAATTGGTATATCTTTTATTTAGAATATAGCAAAGTGCTCTCGACCAATAGAATTGTAGGATTTGATGTCTCTTAATTGTGAAGAATGAATGTAAACATGTTCTTAGTAAGGGATTATCCTATTATTTTGGTCTATTTACAGTTCAAAACAAAGAGATTCTATAAATGAGTTACAACTGCCCCGAAGCACATATATCAGATTGAAAGGATTTACCACAGTGATTGAAACTAACTAAAAGTTAAATTGTGAAACAAACAAAAAAATCAAAATAAGTTGAAGTTTACTGGTGCTATAAAATTTGTATCTTTAATGTTATTATGAAAATATGAATAACTTCAAATTATTAAAAAAAAAAAAAAAAAGAAACAATATCAAAGTGATGCACAAAAAAAAGAAACAATATCAAAGTGATGCACAAAAAAAAGAAACAATATCAAAGTGATGCACAAAAAAAAAAGAAACAATATCGAAGTGATGCACAAAAAAAAGAAACAAACAGTTTTAAATAAAAATTAACCTAAATCTCTAGCTTTCCAAAACTTTGATTACTGAACCAGCGGTTGGGAAGAATAGTTATTTCCAATATTCTGATAAAATAAAAACAAACCAGGAATTTGATTTTAGTTTTGAATATATTTAAAACTTTCAAAGGCATTTTATTACAACATTTTCCTGACATAATGAAATAGTATTTGATTTGAAAAGCATGACCACAATATTGGCTGTGAAATAAAATTAGTTGTAACTCAAATGTACTTATTATTTCAAACTGTACATTAAAAAGGATAATGCCTCATTTAAATATTGCATGATTTACATTCATACTCACGATCAGGAACATATACAATTTCTACCTTTTCTTTGTACTGTTGTGTCACCTTATGTCATAACGCATTTTTTAAAATTTTTCCCAAATTATAAGAAAGTCCTTACATCAATAAAACTAACCCATAAATGAAATGCTTCAAAATGAAGTCATGCATCAATTACATTACCCATTTAATTAACACTGACAATGAACGTAATTCTTGAATAAAACCAATCAAGAGATTATTCGAGCCTTGAGCACTTTGCAATATTCTAAGTTTGTAAGAGAATGATAATCCCTAACTTCATGATAAGTACTCACTGACGCTCGTACTTAATCATGAAGAAAGGACTCATCATTCTCTTAATGATAATCCCTTACTTCATGATAAGTACTCACTAACGCTCGTACTTAATCATGCAGAAAGGAATCATCATTCTCTTACATATACTTAATTTCATCTTCATACCATCACACTAATTGTATGCTTTCAAAGGGTTATTTAAATTCATTTTGGTGTGACCGTTTATATATGAAAAACAATGTGGATTAAATGCCGTTGTTTCCTTAACGAATTGCCAGATGATAAGACTAATAAACGTAGATATGATGTTATTATTGCGCTGAAATGTCAGAAATTCTATTTGTTCGTCATAATATTTTTGAGATCACAGACCTAGAGTACGCGTTTTTAAAATTGCATGGCGTCATTAGGCACACAACTAAGCTATGTAAAATCAAGGAAGGTGAAAGTTTGTATGTTTGTATGTTGCCATGTTGGCTGAATGTTATTTTTTTTTATTAAATATAATGAAAAAGACAAAAGGAGAAGGTATGACACTTTCAAAAGGAAATATAAATGTAACTAATAACATCCTTTCGATGTTCACAATGCATGTTTGAACAGTGTCTTACGCTTGGCTTTAGAGATTTAAACTTAAAAACTTAAGAATACAGAATCTGTCAAATTCACGAATGGATGATTTCTTGTCAGTCAAATTCATTCAGTCTCGCGTTCATTTTAAAATTGAATACAATTGTTATATCTTTTATTTAATTTCATCTTCATACCATCACACTAATTGTATCTTTTCAAAGGGTTTTTTTCAAATCATTTTGGTATGACCGTTTATAAATAAAAAAAAACAATGTGGATTAAATGTCGTTGTTTCCCTTTCCGAATTGCCAGATGATAAGACAAAAAACGTAGATATGATGTTATTATTGCGTTGAAATATTTTGTTTTTAAATTCTCGTTCTTTCAAATTTTCATCTGTACAGAGATCAAACAGCCATCGTTGACAAGACGAATGGTTTCAATACATAAGTTACATTCAATGTACACCATTT